GGCTGGAAAGCTGCCAGGCAGAAAAGGACCTGGGGGTGTTGGTGGACAGCAGGATGACCATGAGCCAGCAATGTACCCTTGCGGCCAAGGCCAATGGCATTCTGGAGTGTATGAGAAGAGATGAGGTTAGTAGGTCAAGAGAGGTTCTCCTTCCCCTCTACTCTGCCCTGGTGAGACTGCATTTGGAATATTGTGTTCACTTCTGGGCCCCTCAGTTCAAGAAGGACAGGAAATTGCTTGAAAGAGTCCAGTGCAGAGCCACAAAGATGATTGAGGGAGTGGAGCATCTCCCTTATGAGGAGCGGCTGAGGGAGCTGGGTCTCTTTAGCTTGGAGAAGAGGAGACTGAGGGGTGACCTCATTAATGTTTATAAATTTGTAAAGGGTGAGTGTCAGGAGGAAGGAGCCAGGCTCTTCTCTGTGACAGCCAATGACAGGACAAGCATAGGAGGTTCAATCTGAATATGAGGAAAAATGTTTTTACTGTGAGGGTTACAGAGCACTGGACCAGGCTGCCCAGAGAGGTTGTGGAGTCTCCTTCTCTGGAGACATTCAAAACCCACCTGGACGCGTTCCTCTGCAACCTAGTCTAGGTGATCCTGCTCTGGCAGGGGGGTTGGACTGGATGAGCTTTCAAGGTCCCTTCCAACTCCTAAGATTCTGTGATTCTGTGAAATAAAGAAGAAAAGTGACTACCTACTACTTAGTCAATGACGCATTGCAGTAGCTCCTGGCGGACTCTGTTTTTGTCACTTTTTCTCACCTATGCTAGCCCAGTTCTACAATATATGAATGCCTCACAAAACGCAGCACAACTTTAACCCCGGAAACTGTGTTTTATTATAGCCATGTTGCAGATAGAGAAGTGAATCACAGAGTTTTTGTCACATTACAAGTTGAAGGGTAGATTCAAGAGAAGGCAAAATGTGCTTTTGGTTCCCCCCTCCCAGTGCTCGCTCACCCGAGGTTCAGCCTGCAGGTCCAGGCTAAGTCTCAAACCATGGTCTTTGCCCAGAGGAAGTTATCTCTGGTTCATATTGAGCAGGTCTGTGCAGTTAATGTTAGACTTTGGTGGCATGAAGTTAGAGAAGCTATTTCAGAATATCCAGATTTTAGGTGAGCATAGAACATGCAAAGGTAAAATTGGTCTCAAGAATGATAGGAATTTTGTATTGCCTCTGTATGTTTTATTTCAGTGTTATTTCATCAGGACGTGTTTTTAGGCATTTCGTTAATGTCAGAGTTTTCAGTAAATGACATTTAAACCTAACATCTCCTGGTTGTTATGAGCAAAAAGTCACGGAGCTTTTTGAATGATGTGTTATGAATGGACATCACCTGGAACTGTGCTCACCAAGACTCAAATTGTAGGGGCTTTCAGTTCATATCTGGTTGCTCCAGCTCTCCCAGTGTAAAGATTTTAATTCATTGACAGTCTTGCTCAAAAACTCATTCAGAGATTAAAAAAACAATAAATCTGCTTTATAGTAGCATTGTGATACCTTATGGTAAAATTGAATCAGAGCTCATAGCATGGCATATTTTAAATACTCTGAGAAATCAACCCCAGAAAGCAGTATAGAAGCTAGAAAGAATTAAAAATCAGAGTGCATGCAGCTGAAAAATCATCAGTGTGAATCAGCATTACATGAATTGTCCAAAAATGTTATTAAAGCTCACTAAGGTATTGGCTCAGTGAAACAAGGGAGTGAAAATGAACACGAGGTAGGAAATCATGCCAGTCGGAGCTTCTCTCCCTAAACCCTTTTCCTTGTTAGCTAAAATAAGTCAAATAATCTCATTTTCACTCATGGACATCAGCTAAATACATGGGCAGGCACTGTACCTGAGCTGACATGTGGTAATTGTTAATTGTAATTGGCTTGTAAACCAGAGATCTGAGGAGCAAAGACTAAAAATGCTTAAATGAAAAATTATGTGTCATGCAAGGTACAGTAAAGTGGATTCCATCCTCTCTTGCAGTTGCTGGGAGGTCAAAACCCAAAAGGTTTGGGCACACAAGAGAATAGAAAAAAAGAAAATTCCAATACTCCTCTGGCTGAAAATGCTATGTTGCATTTCAGGGCTGCACAAATTCACAGTGTTTTCTGTACATGGAGTGAATCCAGGATGAAACCTGAGGAGCCCTAATCAGCTTTTTGGGGGAGAAGCATGACCTGCAGAGTGTTAATCTCTGCTTCAGGCAAACTGACTGGGCTAACGTCCTTCCCTGGAAAAGTCCTGGCTTTCAGCCACCAAGATCTTTACCAGCTTCCTAAGGGAACCCTAACTTTTGCAACTGCTGTGTTTTTAATTAATAATAATAGCAACAATAACAGCTATTGATAGTGGTGTTGTTATTGATGTACAAAGAGACTGTGCAAATGCATGCAATATATGGAGGAATTTACAGTCCAAGAAAAGTGGCTTAAAAGTGGAAAATGGAGGATATAGTTCCACACAGACTATGTATAGACTTTCTGCCTATCATCTAAGTTAAGATAATTCCCTTTTTCTACTTTAATTTGCATTGGTCTTGATGCAGGACAGAGCATGGAGAGCAGGAGACTAAAGGTGCTTCCTATAGAAGATGTTTCAGGGGTGTCAGATTTCCCTGTGTATTTGCTGTGAATATCCTGCAGAAGCCTTTGCTCCATCGCATGCCAACGTTCCCCCTGTACCACTGGTGCAATGGTCTGTGCATTGGTCTTAAACATTGCGTTAGGAACCAAATGTGGAGATGCATTTGCATCTACAGCCTTCACTGTGCTGCCTGGTTTGGCACTGCCATGTATTGACTTTGCTTGTGCAACTGAAAGCATTCTTCTGACAGCCGAAAATTGATTTTTCACAAACATCAATAAGAGTTCAGCAGTTACATAAAATGGGGGTGGGAACCACCATGAGGAGCTGAAAGATCAGTTCTTCTCGTAGGCATTTAAAAATGCATGAACTGTAGGTTTGAGATTAATTTGCTAGAATATGTGTAACCTGTATATCCACTTAATTTTCTATACTTATTTAAGTGTCAGGACATTTCTGAACAATTCTGCTTCGTTACAGGTGATGTTTTAATTCACAGACTGAAGGCACTTCAAAAGTCTTTTCTCAGAAACTGTGTTTTTCATGACAATAAGGCTGCCATCCTACTGTTAGCATGAAATGAAATGGATAAAATGAAATGAGAAGGAAAACCTGCTGATTTTATATGCATTGTTAACTACTGTTTGGACAATATCCCCATTCTTACCAATGTACAATCTAGCATAGGAAAGAGATCCTGCATTATGTGATGAGTGAATGAAAGTTTAGAGTGGAGTAAGACATCCTGGAAAGGAATAACAAGACAGAAAAGGAAGGGCAAGGGAACAGAAAAATGAAAGATATTTTGACAGAAAATGAAAGATCGCCACTTCTTATTCTAAAAGGATATTGCAGAGGATTAATGTAGTAAAGAGAGCTGTTTTGCAGTGTAGAACTACTGTTAGGCTTTGGGGGTTAAATCTGGAATAGTCAGATGCACTTTGATGTGATTATCAGCTAACACAGGTGGGTTCAAAGCTCGCTGAAACAAGCAGAGCAGTCTCATCTTTATGAGTATCACGATTTTGTGTACAGGTGAATATTTCCTCATGTTCATGAAAACTCGTTGGCTGACAGCACTGAGGAAATACCTGTGCACAGTCCAGGGGCAGAGGCAGATGGAGGAATAGAAGGTGCGCCTTTACTCAACGTATATTGGATTTCATGGTTTTTTTATAAATATGTCACAGCCTAGATCCTACAGTTAGCCATTAAAGATGTAACTGACCATGAACTGAATTAAGGTTAAGCATTAATTTAAAGTTTTAACCATGTAAGAAGCCCTCTTTTGCATATCTTTCTTCCCAAAAAGCATTTCTGTGAATGGAACCATCTGCTTTTAAGGTTGAGGGTCATTAATCTGTTAAAAGTATTATATGACATGGTGTCGTGGTTTAGCAGAATAGCAAAATTTAGCTCAAATATTCTTCATGTATCCATTCTGTTCTAGTCTTTGGAAAGTATCCTATTTTAGTTGAAAGTTAAATGATATATTTTGCATTATCATATTATTCTTTTATTACTATCAGCTCCAGTGGCAGAAAAATCTTCTGTAATGCTTAGAAACTTTCTCTTGTATAAACCAATTATTTGTAGCTGACTACAAGAGCTGAAATAAAGGTAAGGAAACATTACATACCGAGTCCTATGAGAGTATTTCATAATCTCCTTGGCAAATGAAGCACTCATTTGGCTTTTTCAAATAATAGAAATTAAAAAAAAAAAGAAGAAGAGAAAAGCTTTCCCTCCATCTTCTGGGATAGTTACTTACAGTAAATTAAAATCAGGGCTGTAAGAAAATCATGCTGGTAATTTAATTCTATGGAGATTATCACTTTTATGTATAATAAAACAATATATGAAAATTTGAAACCATAATCCTTAGGCAGCCCTTTCATCTGTTCATTTGAATGGAAGTGCTTTGCCTGTGAGTGTGAGTGAATTGCTGCTGAATGCCGCGGCTGAAATTCTTGCATATTATAGAGGTGATCCTACTGGAAGATCCAAAAGAGGGCACCAGACCTACCGATGCAGATCTGGCACTGCTGTAGAGAATGCGGTGTAAAGGGAAGGAAACAACAAAAGCTCCTGAGGACTCCCAGGAGAGGATGAACGGAGTTCCTGGTGACATGGATTGAGCGAGAGTGGTGATGATTCCCAGCTGTTTCTTCAAACACAATTGTAGCACAATTTCTTTTCAACGAGAAGACAACACAGTGTTTGACTAGAGGGAAAAAAATAATTAGAGTCCGTTTTCATGGAAGTGTAGCTCAAAACTGTCTTGTCAGATTTTGTTGTGATTTTGTTGAAACTATCTTCAGTCACAATTTTCAGAGCAAATGAACATTCCAAGCGAAAGATACCAGGGAATTAAAATGTTGTAGTGCACCAATTTACAGGAAAATCTTGTAGTGAGCTTACCTGTGCAGAGGCGGGTTTAACTTCTCTCTTACTGTTATTGCTGTTAACCTGCCATTATGAATTGAATTGCAAAACTGCTTTCAGAAGAAGTTAGTTTTCTTTTGTTGTAATAAGAATTGTTGGAATTTTATCTTTTGACTGCGCTCTTAGGTAGAAAATATAGTGATTGAAAGAATGAATTTTGTTATACGCAACCTCAGCATTAAAGCTGCAATTTTAACTTAGTCAGTACTGAAATATATGAACATTATTGGGTATGTCCTTGAGATCTGAAAATGGAGGTCTGGGATGAGAACAAGTGCGGCTCCTCTAGAGAGTGTGGCGAGGCAGCCTGCAGAAAGGCATGTCTATACGTTGACCTGTCTGTTGTGAAAATAGAAAAGAAAGCCAATCATTCCCAGTTCTGCAGGCATTCTGACAGCTAAAGTAGACATTAACAATTTGCAACACGTGGCATGGGGGACAAAAGTCTCTGAGCTCTACAACTCGGAGTTTCCTGGCCGAAATGAAGTTGCAGTTAAAGGTAGCTCAGAGAAAAACTTATTTTATCATACCCCGTGTAGGGCCAAAATGGATACCATTGCCAAAAATTGAGGAAAAATTAATGTCACAACTCAAAAATAGTAATGTGTTCTGGATTCAAGTCTGAAGAGTTCTGAGCTTTTTTGGCCTTTATACAGGGATTTTCCTCACAAAGAAGGATTAGATTTAGTGTATAGTTTTCTGCCAGTATATAGCAATCTCATTTCTTTGAATTGACTTGGAAGGTAAAAAACTTTTTGTTGACAATATATTGATGCAAAACTAGTCAATTTGGATTTTGATTGGCACAAGAGCTGGCAGTCTCAACACGTTACCCTGTCAGACACAGGTTTTGCTGGGCCCAGATGCAGAGCCCTGCACAGCCTCAGCCAGGCTGGTCGTGAAGAGGGTCAGGAGGATGGGCAGGAGGATCTGCACAACCGAATCTTTGAGTGGTGAGAACTGATGTTGCTTTAAAGGGCATAAATAGAACCCTACTGATTTACACTGGAACTCCTTTGCAAAGTTAAAAAAGATGGTGTTTTTCTTGGCTAGGCCTTCAGAGGGGGTGAAGATTATTTGTGTGAATAAGTCTGAATTAGAATAAGTTGAGATGGAGAAGTAGCAGATGAATGTTTTCAACAGTTGCTAATGTAATTTACACGTACTAAAAATGTGGTCAGGTACATTTGGAAAGGCATCAGGTTTCTCTAAGGTGAGAAACAAGAGTCAAAACCACAAGAAAGGATACCATTGCTTAAAAAAAATGAGTGGCTGAGAGGAAAAAGTACATATTTGAATTTTTATTGTTTTTCAATAATTCTGTGTGATTGGTATAGCAACAAAGCTAATTCAGTACCTTAAAAGTGAAATTGTATGATAAATATGAAAACAACTTCAACTGTATTTTTGGAGGCAGAAGCTTATTTTATCTTTGCCAATGTGAATCTGTGAAAACTGTTCTCTTCAGTATTTACATGGCTTGCTTTTAATTTTATTTCAATTATGAAATAATTCTTAAACACATACTCTCTGTTGATATAGTCATTGCTAAGTATTGAATATAATGGGGACCTATACAATAATAATTTCATTATTATTTTTGTAGTTGTGGATAATAATAATAACTAATTGTGCTGTGGAAAGGAAAGGTCCAGGGAGATACCTGATCACAATAAGGAAAGACCAGGTTGTATCTGGAGCACCTCCATTGGTTTTGATGTGCAGGTTGGGTTTACTGCAGGTATTCATGTCTTGTCTTCACTGTCTCTACTCTAGCATTCCCTTTCCAGAGACATTTAATTTAGTTTCAGTTAAAAATAAAACAACAAAAGAATTAACTCTTGGGCTCTGACATGTCTGAAAAGTGCTACTTTTTGTGGAGGAAGTTTGTACCAATGGCTTTTTTCATGAGTACTCACGTCCATGGGTGCTCTTCAGCTGAGAGCAATTTTAGATCTGCTCCGGTTGTTGTCATCGTATTTGCGTCACTTCAGAGCCCACCGGACTCCTCCTCCCTTAGCATTGTCTGTCTGTGGGAATTCACGGTTGGGAGACGTGGGTCCTGGGCAGCCCTGCAGCAGGGGGGATGGTTAATCAGGAACTGGGCGTCCCCCCGTACTGCTCCCTGCTAGTGACATGGAAGTAATGTGTGTACGACAGCGCGGCTGTGATCCTGCTCAGCCAGCGGAGACGAATTGAAATAATTGGGTCGTGAGGCACGAGCTGGCGCTAGGTGTGACGGCAGAGACAAAGGGGACAGGAAATCGCCATACGGCGTCATACGCTCCTTCTCAACCTTAATTTTGATTGCAGCAGTCAGTGTGGCATTATGGTTCTTGAATGCGCTGGTTTATTGAGCTCAGTGTGTGGGAGAGACTTTTTTGAAGCTGAAACAATGCTGGAAAATGATTGGCATAAGGTTAGCTTTGGACACATTGCAGTTCCTGCCATAGTTGCGTAAGAAAGAGCAATATTAAGTAATTGACAAGGCGATTTTAGAATTAGTTAAAATTTTCATTTTTCATCCATGCCTTGTTCTAACTCTTGCCTGAGTTAGAAATGATGGGAGATGGAGGGCATATTCCATTAACTCTAGTTTCTTAAGCTCTATAACAAATATTCTAGGTTCCTTTCATCTATTTACTCTCTTTTAACTCCATAGCTGTGTTCTTTTACACTATTAAGGATAGTATACTTGTACAGGTTTGAAATACATCATGAAAAAATGTTAAAATAGTGCTGAAGTAAAACTAAAATTTGAATGTTATCTTACTTTTTTCTCCTGCATGAATTTATAAAACAAATAGAAGTGTGTTGTGCTAGGCAACAGAGAAGTGAACTTGAACATACATATATATATACATATATAAAAAACCTTTATGTAGAAATCATTGTAATAAGACTACATCAAAATAATCATAGGTGCATGGTGACTCATTTTTGTGTATTCGCATAAGAATATGTTTCTGGCGCCCTTAAACTGAGATTTGCAGAATTATTTGAATCCATCTACTTAAATGGCATGTTTGAAGAACTGAGATTTACAGTCAAAAAGGGTGAATCAGATCTAAAAGTGTCTTGGAGGTTCTTCCGCCTCCCAAGAGTCAGGAATCATTTACTGTAGCCATTAACACCTAACACGACTTTAAGCGAACTGTCTCCTCAGTAAATTTAAGTAACATTTTTATTTAAGAAAAGAAGAAAGAAGTAGTAAAAGTGGAGTGCCAGAGATATGTTAGAGAGCTTTTTTGTTTGTCAAAGCCTTCATGCATGTTTACATTGGTTCTAGATTTTTTATTACTATTATTTTCATTAATGATAAAATTAAGTTTGGGATGCAGTCCACCTAAATCTTACTCAAACGGGGATGTTATTTCCTAAAACTTTTCTAAATCCCAGAAAACAGCACAGTTTGTGTACTTCCTAGGCCTGACAAATCTTATACCCAACTTCTTTAAGTATCTCCTACTTAGGCTGAAAATTTGTTAAATATTAAATTTTCCTTTTCATGCTCAGAACTGTCTGCTTTGGCAGAACAGAAAGATCTATTTGGACTTCTTTTTTAATTCTGGGCTTAAGTAAACAGACAATTAACTCCGCCTTAATACAGTGAAAAAATTTGAAGACTAAAGCCCCTTTATAATACCCACTGGATAAGCACTCATCCAAAGAGTGAGGTGACCAAGTTCTGGGTTCTGCTGAGGCTGATGATGCTTCAGCTGCATCCTAAGAGACTGCCCATGCCAACAAATCTGATATTGACTGCAAATGGTGATGAAGTGTGTGTATGAAATAGGGACTGAACCAGACATCCTCCTTCTGAGGCGCATTCTAACCACCAGATACATCCCCTTCCATCTGATGCTGGAGAGGATTTGTCTTTAGGTGTTTTTTTACAGGAAGATACTAGAAGGATAACCATATCTGGAACTTTTATCAATATTCATTTGAGGGTTTTGTGAAGTTTTACTGTGCATGGCGTAAAAGCAGAGATTCTCTTCAATTATGTGATATTTAGTTATTAGATAATTACAGATAATTGCATGGGCAAGTTCTATGAACTAAAGTGTTGCCGTAACATCTAAAATCTACAAATCGGGTAACAATTATGTTTTGAGTTATATTATTATTTCAAGTATAATTACCATGAGATTAGCAATGCATGTAATTAATGAGTAATCACTGGAATTTGACTTCGTAGTTGCCCTTCCCCCTTGTTGTAAAGTTCTTTGTCACAGCGTTTTAGCATAAAGATAACATAAATTGACCTCCACATGTGTTATATTAAAACTCAAAATACTTATTTCCACTGCAGTACTAGCTCCTTAATGTTCTACGAGTGTAGTTTCCTGGAGAAAACAGAGAAGGGACAATGTGCCATGAATAGGGAAGAAGTGAAGGAACCTTTCAATAGAAACCAGCTGATGAAAAAACTCTTTTCCGTAGCTGTCCAAAGTAACTCTTTATTATATATTATAGCTCGTTTGTAACTAGCTAAAATTCTGCTAAGAATACAGTCTTTCAAAATCTCTTCACATGGTCTGCTGTCTTCCTTCCATTGTAAGGAAAGTTTGATTCCTACAGAAGAGAAGAATCTGTTGTTCACTCCTGGGTTTCAATTGAACAAAGCTGCTTTTTTTCTTTTTTCTTTCTTTCTTTTTTTTTTCGATAGCGTTTATATAGGACACATTTCTTGCCAGACATTCAGGTTACTAAATAGCGGGTTTGCCTCTCTTTTTGTTCATTCATTTGTTTTGTTTTCTTTCATTATTTATTAGGTTTTACCTGGCGAGATGATTATACACAACATGTTATTGGTCAGGAACTCTCAACCATTCACAAAATCCACAACAGACGCCCTGATATGTTTGCATCTGAAGGATCTGACATGGGAAGGTAAGTCTTCAATGCTGTTTTTGCTTGGTATGCCTTTGGGGGAGGGTTTGCAAATGATGAAAAATAGATTGGTTCTGAAGCTTAATTAAACTCATCACCAAAAACACTATCTGTGTGATAAAGGAAAACCAGTCATACAACAGCAATGAAAATACCAGCAGGAAAAGAGCAGACAGAATGAATGAAAAGCCTCAACCCTGTTCTTTTGATTATCAAGTTAAGAAAATACACCTTCTTTTGTTATTTTAAGTGTCAGAATTCAAAACATCAAGTCTTTTATCCAGTTTATGTAGTGTCTAGTCTCAGTTCAGTCAGCTCTACTTGTCACTGGCTGAAAAAGGCAGACTTACACAGTAGTGTAGCCATAGGAGACATTTGATTCTGAAATAAGTGAACAAAAAGTAACAAAAAGAAGGATTGAATGATATTCTGAGCAACATTTCTATCATTTGTATTATAGAAGCTATTTTCTTCATGGCTTGAAAGATATTGAGGGGTGACTTAGTGGTTGTTGGTGGAAAGAGCCAACATCTGCAATTCTCTAGAGTGATATGAATGAAGAACCTGCAATTATATCATCATCTTTTACAGATACACGTATAAGTATACTCTTTTATCTGGTCTGTTCTGCCCTGCATACTTTTAAGTGCAACCCAACCATGCAAACCTCAGAAGGAAATTTTAAAATGCATAAAATTTTAAGAAAGTTAAAAATGGTGATGTTGCTTTCTGCTACATGAGTTTTAAAAAGGCAATCTCAAAACTAGTGAAATTGAAAGTGGTTTTCGTTAGAAAACTCTTTTCATAGTGGAACAAAGCTTGAGCTTCTAGCATTGAGAGGCAAAATATTGAATGTTGGACTTAAGATCTTTGTATACAGCAGTACATGGTTTGTATATACTGCAAAACCATTTATTCTCTAGATTGCTCTTTTATGGAAATAAAAATGCTGAATGGAAATAAAAATACTGCCCAGTGGCTTCAGCTGTGTTTGCCTCAGTTTGTTTCAATTTAATTCATAGAATTTGACCCTGTAACTCAGATATTTGCTGATTCAAAAGTATCCTTTAAAATCACAGCATCATTTGTTTCCGGATTTCAGTAAGGTAGAAACTTAACTTCTAAAGAAGACATTGATCTATAGATTATCATAAACAACATGTGGTTTAATCCATAAACATGTTTTCGCTGCTTGGTTATGCAAAATGCCATTACTGCACGGTTTGCTCTCTGTACATGGTACCAGAAATTATTCTGAATATCTTTTTATTCTGAATATTTTTCTTTAGAAGGAGTGTTTCTAAAATTTTTATTCATGAGACTAAGATAAAATAGGCCAGATTTCCATGAGATCAAGCCTATATTCTTCAGTGTTCCAGATTCATAGTTATATAAAAATAAAATGTATAAGATCTAAAACAAAATTTTGTTTTTAGACTGAGAACAGATGATCACTTTTAGGAGTTCCTGTTATGATTTGCTTTGACCTGTTTTGCATTTTTAACTAGAACTATACATTTAAAAAAAACAACCCATTTTGTATATTGACACTTTAGGAACATCGGAATTTCAAATGTGTTCCACTTATAGCAGTTCATATTGTGGATAGATTTTCTGAAGTTACCAAGCTGTACTTCTGAAAGCTTTATCTTATGTGCCAGCAGTTTAAAGCATTAATTGATTTTTCTGGTTGTACATTTGCCATATATTCTGTAGGTCAGGGAACAGTAGGAACTTTTTCTCTGGCGTCTTGTAGATTCTGATAAAGTTTAATATGATCAGTCTGCTCAATAAGTGTGCTAAAATCTTATCAGATAATATTAAATAATTAAAAAAGCAACTTAGTATAGGTATCTAATTATCAAAGAAACATTATGGTAGACCTTTTATTAAGAGTAACGTGTGTAATAAGACAATATGAAGTCATCCTAATGAGTCATTAATCCCCACAGAGCTAGCGAGAGCAAGAAAATAGACTCAGACACTTAAAAGGTAAATTGACTTAGGCTAAATTAGTGTGTATGAAATCTGATGGAACAGAAGACATGGATTTCATCTTTAAAAAATGCTGAAACTGGAAGCTTGATTTCAAGGTGAAAGTTCGTTCTTTGTTGGCTAACTGGAGTGTACGTGGTATTTCCTGGGCCCTTATTAAATTTCAAAAAAAACCCCATTCTTGAAAGAGGATCCAAGTTAAAGGAAAAAAGTCTATTCTGTACACAGGGAATAGATGTCAGTTGTGTTCATTGGTGCAATTAAGCAAAACTACAAACATTTCCAGCAAACTTCAATGTCTAAAGTGGGGTATAGCATTATTTCTATAATAAAACCATCATTAAGTCAGTAATAAGCAACTCACAGCATTTAAAAGGGAGAAACTTTATTCTAAAAAAATGTTGTATCTATTAGTTGAGAACATTCAGAAAATCGTAATACCTGAGGTGTACTGATTTAAATATTTCCATATAAAAGCTTCTAAAACACTGTTTTTTGCAGGAACTATAGAATTATTTCTATGCATAAATAATTATAAAAGTTATGGTCTTTATACCCTGAAGTTCATTGTACGCAAAGTCCTTTTTCAGAATAAATTAAAACTGAAAATACTTCAAAATATGTACACAAGAACTCAGCTGACAGTCATTTCTCCTACTCACCAGGTGCTTTTATATATTTATCTTTTATCCATTTTCCAATATCACTTTGTCAAATTCAAAAGAAATATTCTAATTCAGTTGTGTTAATAGCTCATTTAATGCATTTCATTTTCTGTGTTAACAGTGATATACTGGTGAACTACAAAAAGTTTTAAAAATCTTTCAGATGCATCCATAGGATTTTATTAAATTTGTCATCAAATAAAATACAATGCTTTGATAGATTTCTCGATTTTAATTGTTTAAAAGTTTAGATCACAAAATATCATATCTAATGTGGCTATTGTACTATTGGAGTACAATTACTGTCACCATAAGAAAAATGAAACATCTTAGACCTCAGATCTTGCTTATACCAGCAGTGCGAGTGATTATATAGTGTACATAATGGTTTGAAAAGCTAACCTAAATACTGTCTTCTATCTGTGCATTCAGTTCCCATTAGCTCCAGTGGAAATCCTCAGGGCGGAATTTGGTTTGGTTTTTCCATTTTCCTTTTCTTACCAAAGTTAGAGAAGAAAGGAGAAGATAGGTGTTGGAATTAATTGATGAATGAAGGATGAGTGATTGAAATTCTGATATCTTCTACCATGAGAGCCTCTTTGGATTAGTTCATCTCTATTGAAGCGGAAAGCCTAAAACTGCAGAACAGTTTTATTCTGGCTGTATGTTGAAAAAGAGGTGGTTAATGTTACCTGCATGTCCACCCTCCATCATAAGGCAGAATTTAGAGGTCTGGAATAAGAGAAAAATACAAACAGCGTGAAAAGGATGTGAGACTTAAGATGAGTTATATCAAGATTGCTATAGTGCTCTGTGCTGTAAACCTTCGTTTTCCTAGAGTTTGTGTGCCTGATGGATAGCTGGTGGTTTTACACCAGGAAGACTTGGAGGGGTTTTCTGGTACTTTAAAGTGAGCACTATTGGTTGCAATGCCACTGCTGCAAATTAGATTATTAATTACATTTATTGGCATTAAATTAGTCAGGACACGTATTTGATACAGCTATGAGCATGGAAGAAGTCTGTGACTTTGTGCATAAAGTAATGCAATTAAACCCAAGATTTGGAAAATGCAATAATGGTACTCTCTCAAGCTGTGTCCCTAGATAAGCACCATGATGTGGGCTGGTAGAATAAAATTTTGTTAACAGTGGTGTGGGGATGTTGAAAGTCAAATGATGCCTCATCTCCCTGGGCTGGAAAGCTCTTCCACCTGAAATTGTTCTTCACTGAAGGAGCTTATGGGCATGTGTGTAGGAAATGGTGACAGCAAAAAGGTGATTTTCCTCAAAACAATGTGTCACTCACAGGGAAGAAAGCAGACTGGGAACCCTGTGTCTGCTTTCTTAAATAAGGAATGAAATAGTTACTGGTGTTGACATTTAAATTATCGTCATCATTGACATGTTGTTGAAATAGATGAGGAGAGCCAGTAATAATTCAGATTCATTGCACACAGCACTCTGAATCTCAAATAAACACCTCTACATTGCTGTTGTTTAATCACATTTTTAGCTTTTCTTTGCAAACATCACCAAGATCTGTCTAAACCAGTCAGGAAACACCACTATTCTGTGAATCCCAGGCACATGAGAAGATCAGAAGAGATACTTTTTTCATCTCATTATTCCCTTTTTAAACCTCTTTCTGGAGCTGGCTTGCTCAGTTATTCCTGCACATCCAGTAGTCTCATTATATTCTGTGAACTGGTGCAGGGCCAAACTGACGTTGAATCTTATAATCATCCAGGATTTTTTTAAAATCTTAAAACCATCTCCTATTTCTTTGGGATGCAATTTAATTGTGCAGTTTCTTTTTACATGCATTTACTTTTCTTCTGAATGTGGCTTTGCCTAGATGTAGGCATTTGATTTGATTTACTGTTGGATCATTAAATTTGATTCATGCAATTAATTGTTAATAGCACAAGATTTTTTGGCTGCTTTTGCTGAAAAATTGGATTTTCTTTATTTTTGTGGTTGCTAAGCTTTTTAGTGACTTATTTGTTATGGATAGAACTACCATCTTTGGTTTGCAGTATAAAACAGTACCTTTTTAGTTGGGCACTTTGTATGTTGTACAGACTGGTAACTTTCTTTTCCTTGCTTTTGCTGTGCAGGACTTTGGGACAAAATGTGGATAATGAAAGAAATTACGATCTGGAAAATGATGTGAACTTGGCCAAGTCTCTTCAGCAATACCTTAAATATCTCGGTATTCTCTCCCAGTCTGCAGCTACAAATCTGTATCCAAGGAAGGTGAATGACAAAGCTTCTGTCAAGGTAGTATTTTTAATGCAGTTCCTGCATTCTGTGATTTTGGCTTCCTATTTTGAATTCTCGTTATTTTTCAATTTTCCCTTCTGTCCTGAGACCAATTTTTCTTACTGCCTACTCCTACCAATTATCATAACTGCACTAACCAAGTTTTCTCCAAATAAGCAGTGTCAGCTTCAGCATTGTAAACATTGTAACTCTTCTAATCCAGAGCATTTTACCTTAACAAAGATGTGAGGAAGGAGGAAGCGTGGGATAAAGGTGGCAACACCTTCACTGACTGAAATGATTTGAAGCTCTTCTTATAGCATCTGAACTGCTCCACTCCGAAAAGCTGCCTGAACTACCCCACAAATTCTTGCTGGTGTATATGGTGCTTAGAGTATTATTCATATAATTTTTAAGCAGATTTTGGTAGTGGGTCTGATGAATTGTGCCTCAACACTTCCTAATTCTTATTGATCGTAAAGGAAGCCTGTCATGACCAATTAAGGTTCGTATGTATACATTATAAGTATATATATAGCTAGGTAGATAAATCATAACCATTAAATCTTGAGTATTAGCTATGTTAAAAATACCCACACAAATGCCTATTTGAAAACTAAACCAGTTTTTTTCTTTCCTATAGAAAATCTATCTCACTGTAAGATGGAGCTTGATAAGTTTATAAAAATTATTGGAAGAAGGATTTACATATGACAGGCCCCTATAACCCTATATCTTTTGCTCAAAAATGTGTTTATCAATAGCAATCTATTATTTTAAAGAAATAGGCCACTATTATAGCAATCCTTTCAAAAAATTGGTATGTGCTGTTTGCATGAATACAGCATAAGTGCAACAACCTTAGCAAAAAATACTCTGAAGTTTTAGGAAAAAAATCAGGTAAAGGAAATATAGCATCAAAGCCAAACTGCTGGCTTTTTCCAGAAACTAACTCAGAGGCACAGAACTACTGCAGTATGTCTGCAACAGCAGCTCCCAGAAAAGGTATCAGTTGTACCAACTATTTAGTCATGGTATGACGGAAATGTTGTTATTCTTGTCAGAAGCAGCAAGTTTCCAGTTTCACTGATTGGCATCTATAGCACTTACGATTTATGGCGTAAGTCATTAGGCAATAATCTGGGGTAAGACAAACCTGCAGGTGTTGGCAAGGTGGTTTTGGGATGTGTGAGTGCCCACCTTTGTGGTACTTTTGCTCTGTTCTCTACGCATGGGTGCTGCCTGCAGTGGGGATGCCCTGTTTGGGACCAGTGGCTTTCAGAGACGACAGAACTTGCTCGAGAAGTATTTCAGTGGGTCTGGTGCTGTCATGCAAGTTCATAAATAATCCATATGGCTGAGACCTTCTGTGGGGAAACCTGCTGTGATAACACCACCCACCAACCTTATCGAGTGTTGCCATGGAGATGGGTACTCTGAAGCCTGGGGGAGTGGGATAGAGAGGAGAAAATCTGGAAATGAAGCACGTATAGGAGTGAACTGTAGACTTGTATTTACTAAGGACCATTTTAAAACAACACACACTGAGTCAGATATGTTACCTATAATTTAAACTTTATAGAAAAAAAGGAAAAAAATCTTAAAAATAATTTAAAAATAATAGTAATCAGTCCTGAAGTTTAAATGATCCTGGATACATTTCCCTATCCACTGTGTATGTACCTTGATTCATTGGGTCATTAATGGAATAAAACAAACAAAAGAGAAAACAGGATTTTTGCTACTCCGGGAAGCAGGAAAAAGGTTAAAATTTAATTATTTGAAAAGAGTAGGAAGGAAAGTAACTGCAGGAGCTGCATTTGATGTGGTCGTACCACTTGATGTTGAAAATGGCTATCTTATGCACTTGAATTTTATGCTTCAACAAAAACTTGTACCCTATTTTTGTATTTCATATATGGATAAATTATGAACCTACATTAAATAACTGTAGCAAGATCTTTTTAACTTTCTTGCACTTCTCTGAGTAAGGGTAGGATAGAGATACTCCACTCTACTCGGACTTAGAATTGCAGCTTTTGGGCCTTTGCCCTTCTTAAAAAAAATTCCTTTCAAGTACATATTTTACTGTGTGACTTCGTTCTTGCAGTTGGGGAGTAGGAGATGTAACATTATTCTGGTTACTTTGATACCTTACCTGCCATGAAGGATAGCAGAAATTTAGTGCTTCTAGGCAGAATTTCTGAGTGAATTCTGGTTTGTTCCGAAACAGTTATCAGAGGGCTCTGTCCAAGGAAAAGAGTAAAAAAGACACAGAGGATTATAAATATTTGTCATACTCCAAAATGTTATTGAATATCTTAAATATTTTTAATCAAACTTTTAAACAAATTTTTTGTCTTTAGTTTTCCCACTATCCTCCATGTGTATTATTAGAATAACACCGCAGAGCTTCAACATTACCAAGTAGAGAGTGCATATGCAGTTATGCATAAAGGTGTAAAATGAGACACGGCAAAACCTGAAACAGGTTTAACTGTTCCTGTTTCCCTTGTTCAAACAACTGCCAGCTTGAGGCTTGATACAAGAGTGACAGAAATAACACTATTAAACTTAAATCATGTGATGGACCTAAATTCCTATAAAGTCTACCATTTATTGCTAGAGCTTCTCTGAGTGATTTTTGGAGCACTTAAAGTTCATTACTAAATCAGGCTTTTCTCTCACTGTTTAGACAGTAGCTACTGCAGGCTATACTCTAACCAGTTGATAATGACTCTGCCAGTGGATAAATAGCAGTAAATCAGAAGATTTGGTGGGTCTGTTTCCTGAAGATTAGAGTTGTAAAGAACTTTTTACTTTAGTTCAGCTGAAGGAGTTGTTCAGAAAATGGGCACTTGGTGGCATTTGTTACTTTAAGCATTAGCTGGTGGGTTTTTTGTTTCGGTCCCCACCCACGTGGGCTCAATGAAAGTTTTACCATTCACAAAATGTTGCGTTATCAGTCTTTCTGATTCCTTTCTACTCAACTTGGACTTTTGGAAAATAACATATAGCCAGGCACATACACATAATGAGAAAGCTTGGTTTATCTTCTCTTCAGAGGCAAGAAATGCAGAGGCTTCAAATCATGTGTGAGTTCCCCTGCTCCTTTCCCCTCCAGTTACAGCGAACCCTCTCATGGAAACTCTCATAGAGAAAAACAGAAACGAAACAAAAAACTCATCAAACCTCCAAAAATGCACTATACTGTCAACATTCCTACAGAAACTGAGCAGCAGAGTTTTGTGGGGTGCAAAGGGACAGCAGATAGTATCAAAGCCAGTCAGCTGCGAAAGGAGAGCTTGCTTGCTTTGCTGCTGATGACAGCCCTGCTCGTGGGCTCTGTGTGGGCCATGTGGGAAGTCCAGAGGAAATCTTTAGATAAAGGAGGTGGAAAAGGAAAAAAATAGCCATGTCCACAGGGACTGTTACAACAAGTCCAAATGCTTACATTCAAACAGTTTAATTATGCTTTTTTCATCTGACCAAGAATAATTTTATAATCATCACAGAAAGAGAAAGGATTTGAAATGTGATCCAAATATACTTAAAAGTCTCAAAATCAGGAAGAAAATAAAAATAACTCAGCTGAAATTATTTGTTTATTCTTTGAACCAGCTATCATTTTTAGATATTCTCATGCCTTCTGGTAGCCTGGCTTGTGAATTTTTTAATGCCTCAGACTGACAAAAGTGTGCTGCTCCACTCTGGGGCCAGATGCTCCATGGACTACTCTTGGAAACCTTCTAGACTGTAGGAATAATAAAATTGCCTGCTACACTTATGCTACTGCTACATTTCATGTTGCAGGGGTTTCTGTTTTGTGATGCAGGTTTTTAGGGCTATAAGATGCGTGTAATTGCTCTTGTTCCTTCCCCCTGACTTGGCCTCTGAGGTCTTCAGACGTGGGTCCTACCTGCTGCTAGGGTCTTCCTCGGGTTGGTGTGCACTCAGGCCCCAGTGCACAGTGTAGGGAGAAAGAGAGAAAATTGATTATCTCAGATTCTTCTCTTTTCTTTCTGTTTCTTTGGGTTTTAGTTTAATTTTCAAATTTCATTAATTTTCATGCAAACTTCATGCATAAATATTGGGATTGCAGGACTCTATGAGTCTCTGGTATTATAAATTTTAAAGAAAAAACTTTAGGAAAAAAAGCAGACTCCTTACATCAAAGAATTTGCTAATAAAATTAAATGTCTGCAGAATCATGAAGGGAAAATGAAACAAAGTGGCTGGTTAGTGGCAGAGATGTACAGGTGGTTGTTAGATCAGCAGTACAGTGGTGCTAAAGGGGAGGTAGTGCAAGTAAAAACTGTTGTGGCAGAGTCATTTTGCTGGAATCTAATGGAAAGGTGTGAAGGTTAGACAGGGCATTTGGCAAAGCTTGTATTTTAGTTGTCAGTACAAGAGGGAACCTTCCACCTATTCTTCCCTTTCACATTCAAGGAAGAGTAATCATAGCTCGGCTGGGTTGAAAATCAATTGTTTGATGCTTTGTAATTGATGTCCTGAAAGAACTGGAATGTGTGATAACTATTAGAATTTATTATTATTTATTTTAGAAAATCTGAGTGCTCAAAGATATACTCTGAATTTATCTGCAAATAATAATTACTGTGATTAACTAGAAAGAAATTACACAGTCATTGCTCATTTTAATCTGGAGCTTTAATTCAAAAAGCAGGACCCTTATTTATCTAACACTGATTAAAAGACAGTACTGAATGAAGATCACCAGAAGCTGATTTGATGGCTGACTGCTGAAAAGTCAAAAACCTTTCTGCAATGTATACATTTAAATTCTGCTGATCTAAATGTAAATTCTAATATTTCCTATGTGTGGGATTATGTATAAGTAAGAAAAATGTAATTCACGCTGTGCATAAACACTTTCATAAAAATATCAGGAATAATTGATAAAGGAGTGTCTCCCTGAAGCTACAGAATTGCCCATCCATCAGCATATCTATACAATAAGGATTAGAGTAAATCTGAATGTCGCGCAACCATTAATT